CTCAGTGGTAGAGCGCTTGCCTTGCATGCCTGAGGCCCTGGGTTCGATTCCTCAGCACCACATAAGCAAAAAGAAAAAAGCCAGAAGTGGCGCTATGGCTCAAGTGGTAGAGCACCAGCCTTGAGCTGAAGAGCTGAGGGACAGCGCCCAGGCCCAGAGTCAGGCCCCATGACCGGACCCAAAAATAAAATGGTTATTTGATATTAAATTTTTTCTTACATTAAAAAACAGTAATGATTTGGGCTCGCTTGATAATACTGCATTAGCGACTTCCCAGATGCGGGTCTCTGTGGCTGTGTACAACAGTCACCCCCACCGAAGAAGCCTTACATATATATTATATATACTACATAATGTATTTTCTATCTATGTATCTATCTATGTATCTATTTATGTATCTATCTATGTATCTATTATAAATTTATCATCTTTGTGTCTATGTATGTATATATGTATCTGTCTGTCTGTCTATGTATGTATGTGTGTATGTATCTACCTACCTCCCTACCTACCTGTGTACATAAGTATGTATCCTATCTGTCTATCTATCTATCTACCTAAGTATCTATGCATCTACACATCGATGTATGTATGTATTATGTATACATGTATGTATCTATGTATCTAATCTATCTACCTAAGTATCTATGTATCTGTCTACGTATCTATGTATCTATCTATGTATCTATGTATGTATGTATGTATGTATCTATCTATCTATCCATCTATCTATCTATCTCCGAGAGCTGAGGATCGTGGCTTGCGACAGCCCAATTTGAGAGATTCTTATCTGGAATTATCAAACCAAAAACCTGGATGTGGAGGTGTGGTTCAAGCGGGAGAATGCCAAACTCAGGCACAAAAACCCCAGGAAGGGTCCTCTGGGCCCGAATGGAAGCCCAGTACTGATGCGCATGTGCACGCGCACACACACACACACACACACCACACAACACACACACACCACACACACACCACACACACAACATACACACACACACCACACACACACACACACACACCACACACACACATACACCACACACACACCACACACACACACACCCCTCGCATTGGCCCCCTCTCCTCTGAGCTGAGCCATGTTCATTTAACAGCCGAACGGCTGCGCTCATGTCCGTGGCTTTCTCTCACATTTCCAATTCATTTTCTCTGTCCTTCCATGGCGCCGATAGCATAAAAAAGAAAATAAAATCATTTTTAAGCCTAGTTTAATTTTTCTTTTTTCAGGTTTGGCTTACCCATGATTTTATGAGCTGTAAATTTCATTGCCTGGTGAATTTCTCTTTCCCTTCTACGGACAGAGCTGGCGAAGTCCTTGGAGAAATTGCTTAGGTGATCATTTCTTTTAATTAAAAAAAGAAAAGAAAAGAGATTTGGTGCATCTAGGCTAACATGTATTCTTTTTTTAAAAAAAATCTTTTTTGTCTTTTGCCAGTGGTGGGCCTTGAACTCGGGGCCTGGGCGCTGTCCCTGAGCTCTTTCACTCCAGGCTGGCGCTCTACCACTTGAGCCACAGCGCCACTTCCAGTTTTCCGGTGGCTTGTGGGAGATCAGAGTCTCACACACTGACTACATTTCTTCTGGGGACAATGTCCATTTACTTTCTTCCTAAAGAAAGCAAGCAGGAAGGAGTCTCACTGCTTTAGTTGTTCCCATTGTGTATATATATATATGTGTGTGTGTATGTGTATATATGTGTGTGTATATATATGTGTGTGTGTATATGTGTGTGTATATATATCTGTGTGTCTATGTATATATATATATAGATACACACACATATATATATTATATATATAATATATAATATATATATATATGAAGACATTTCTACTTTTTTCAACAACTCTATGAGATGGATCGAAAGAAAAAAAAAAACATCGTGTGGTAGAAGGCGGTTGTTCCTGAAGTCAGGTGTTTATGGCTTTTTTCCAAACAACTGGGTCTCGGATGCCAGTGGAATGGTTATCAGAGCAGCCCTGATCTGGTTATTTTTACATAAATCTGCATACATATCCAGGAGACCCTACTCTGGGAATGCACAATTCGCTCTCGGTAATTAATGAACGCTTCCTCTCTCAACAGTGTCCAAGCCCCGGATTCTTCCGGCGTGAAGGCAGAGCCTGAGATCACTCGGTGCTTAGTGGCACCCACAGAGACACAAGAAAGAAGCTTCCAGAAAAGCACACATGAAGGAAGTGGTCACCTACGCAGGGACCCTCTGACATTTATAACTGGGAACCTGAGATCAGACTGATCCCAGATAAGAAGGCTGGAGCTGGGCGTTGGTGCTCACGCCTGCCATCCCAGTGACTCAGGAGGCTGAGATCTAGACGATCCCGGTTCGAGGCCAGCCCGGGCAGGAAAGTCTGTGAAACTCTGATCTCCAGTGAACCACCAGAAGACCAGAAGTGGCACTGTGGCTCAAGTGGTAGAGCACCAGCCATGAGTGAAAGAGCTCAGGGACGGCGCCCAGGCCCTGAGTTCAAGACCCAGGACTGGCATTAAAAGAAAAACAAAGAAAACAAAGCAGCCATAAAAGGAAAACTGGGCTTTTAGACCCAGGCCCCATGTCTGGGGGTGTTGCAGGTGGGACCCCTGAACACCGAACACAGAGACATGGGGAAGGGCAGAGACAGGGGATTGAGTGTGAGGCCTGGGCAGAGACAGGAAGAGAGCATCTGAAGCTCCCCCCTCCCTCCCTCCTTCCCTCCCTCCTTCCCTCCCCCCTCCCTC